CCCCAAAACCCCAAAACCCCAAAACCCCATAAGATTTATATAGTATATAGATTATGTAAGAGATATTTAAATTAATTGTTCTGATGCGAAGAAAATATAATATCTATATTTTAATATGTAAAGTTCAAACAGAAGAAAGAGCAGCTCAGCCGTAGACAAGCAGCAAGTGCCTCAAAACAACGATCAAAGTATGTATCAATCAGACTATATTAGTGATCATAATTATCGTAGGTGGAGAGGGACAAGCTTAGGAGGAGAACCAGTTCCCAAGACACAGATTGGCTCATAAAAATGGAGGCATTGTGCTGATTGACGAGGGAAATGTCATACCTCAGGCTTTCAAAGAACTTCTATCTAAGATTGGAAAGAAAATTCTGAAGGGAGAGTTCTCTGACCTTCTAAAGACACCTGCACCTGCATATATGCACTACCCTAGAACTTACCTTCAAGGATCAGCAAAAGATTTAAGCTTGGCTCCACTATATTTTAAGAAAGCAGCCGAAGCAACAGATCCCATTGAGAGACTGAAATGGGTAGTCGCAACATACATAGGAGGACATCACATTAATGTATCTCAAATGCAATGCAGAGCACCTCTTAATCCCATCCTAGGAGAGACAGTCCAAAGAGTTTTGCTTACAGGCGAGCGATATTATGCAGAACAAACATCTCATCATCCTCCTATTACTAGCTTTATGCTTGAAGACCCTAATAACTTGTATACATTTACAGGTTATTTCGAAATGAAGGCTTGGCCCACTGGTTTATCATCACTGAATGGCTCGAGAACAGGAAATTAGTAAATTAAATTCCATGATGGAGGCTAAATCACTATAAAAGATCCAATTGCTGAAATATCAGGTTTAACATATGGTGACAGAATTCATAATTATATTGGAAGAGGATATTACATTGATACAGTAAACAATATTGAAGCCGAGGTGGTGTATAACCCAAAGGATGAAAGTGAAGGCTTCTTCAGCAGATTTTGGGGTAGCAAGAAGTCTCAGCTGACTGATATCATTCAGGTGAGAATTTGCAAAGTATATAGCGATGGAGCTAAGCAAAGATTAGCAACTGGATTCGGATCATGGCTATCTCATTTGGAATTCGATGGACAAATAGTTTGGAAGCTCGATGATAAGTACGATGAGTGGCTTATTCCAAGCGTTGATATCGAGGATTCAGAATAACTTCTACCCTCAGATAGTCACAATAGACCTGACTTGTAGCCACTCATTGATAGAGCGTTCGAGGTGGCAGAGAAGAATAAAGTGATGATGGAAGAATTGCAAAGACACGACAAGAAATTGAGACTTGCATCCAAGGCATTCAGAGACAAAAAAGCAAAATAATGAACAAAGACTTAATAATTTTGCTGACTACTTGTTAATGAATTCATTCCATACATATTTATCTTTAAACCTTACCTGAAATTATCTACTGCTCATTCAGATTCAAATTATTAACCTATTACTCTGCATTTAATTTTATTATTCCAATAATTTCTAAAATGCTGATGCTTGGGGTTTTGGGGTTTTGGGGTTTTGGGG